GTAATAAACAGGAAGTATTATTTTTGGAGCATCCTTAGTGTATATATATATATATATATATATATATATATATAAAGCTCAAGCACTAATATTCTATGGTTATAATTTATTACATTGGAATCGTAATCACGATCCATTTCATCGGACCACTGGATCGTGATTACGATTCCAATGTAATTATAACCATGGAATATTAGTATTTGAGCCTTTTATATTATATTCTTGCTCTGTTCTGGACATTGAACTCTGCCTGGATTCTATCCTCTTGGAAATTTATATATATATATAAAGAAAGAACAGCAAGATATATAATCCGGTGTTCTTATAGATATTTTTATTTTTACAAAATAGTGCTCAATGTAAATTTACAGAGCATTAATATTATAAATTAATTGATTTAAAATATGTTTTTTTTTCGCTACACAGTTCTAACCATGTTTCAAAAATGGAAGCTAAAAGCCCCGAATTTAATTTTGTGATTAAATTAAAGACATTAGTTCCATTTCATCCTCAAGCGAATTTTGGAGTAACTTTTAAAATTACTGGGTTTTAAATACACAGCTAAAACAAAATTCATGTTTCCAAGGTTACAGATAAATCTATTTTTCTAGACAGGGGTGACTGTATATGTCTATAATTCAATGTATCAGTTATTGCTACGTTTGGGTCGTGGGAAGGGATGTATTTTTCAATGAAATCTAACTTCCGTTAAAAGCCTGTCGTCTAGATTTTTTTTAAATTATATTGTTAACGGCTAAAATTCTTACGGCATTTTTTTTTCTTTCGTATATTTAAAGCTTTTTGGGGGGGTTGTTTAGGTAAGAATACATTTTATTTAAGTACGATTTGAAATATTTTTACTTTTAATCTTTAATATACTATATTTCTTTCAAGAACAATTAAATGTAATTAGAATCCCTTACAGTTTATAGAATAATTATCACATCAAGTATATTACAACTTTTTAAAAATTTTATATTTAAATATTACTAAAGTAAAATTTTCATTTCTCTGATTTAGTAGACTTTTTTTTTATTTATTTAATTACAATTTAAAAGAAGTTTAGGTTAGAATTCATTTTAATTAACTACAATTTTAATTACAACTTTAAAATATTTTCATTATATATATATATATATATATATATATATATGATCATCATAATTATTATATATTTATCATCATAATTAATTCATCGAGTATAGAAGAACCCTCAACAGAATGCAGAAAGTACTGGACGGCCGTTTCGTCCTATTTTGGCGACTCATCAGCATCCACTACCAAGAATCGAACCCGTCATACCCACTGGACCAACGTGTATTGGTGACGGAGTTGAAACAAACCGGACTCGATGACGAATCATGGGAAAATATTCTCCATCGCCATATTCTGGTCGAAAATTACACTATAGTATACTAGTGTAGTTTTCCCTGTTAAACGATTTTATCAACTTTTACCAATTTACTTCCACCATCGCTTTTGAACCGCATGCTATTACGTGTCGACCACCAAATTTTACCATCTTTGTGTGAGTTTATTTCTCCCCCTGACCTTCTTACATGTTCTCTTGCATTAGAATCTAACTCTATTTTGATTTCCTCACAAGAAATTACATTTTGCCATTTTCCAGCATTCCCATATAACATTTATATTATTCCGATGTGTTTTTGTTAACGATATTTTGTTTAGCTGCTATGTGCAAGTTCAAGTTGTTGTGTTTTCTTTTCGGATTTCAACAACTAAAACCTCACTATTAAAACTGCATTCACTCCTCGCTGTTGTTGGGCTGTTCATTTTGGATGGCCTTTTATCTCGGTTCCTTCCGGTTTCTTTGCACTTAAAACACATTCAGTAATAGCAAGTATCTCTTTGACGGTTTGACCATTGTTTCTCGAAATTCCCAGCTGTTTGGATATTTTCGTTGAGTTATTGTCCCCCTTCAAAAACATAACTTTCGTCATTGTTTCAGCAGAAATTTTAACCCTGATTTTAATGTTTAAAAAAAAAAGGCAAACTAATGTTCAATGACGTGCCAAGGCACCTTGCATTTATATTAATAACATGGAACAATTCCTGCAATTCCATATTTGCATATTATCATGACTTTATCATCTCAGGGCTTTCATTGGCTCACTACTTTTGGATGACCTTTATTTAGCTTAAATCTGCTTAAAGCTACTTATCTCCTATTACACGTCACGAGAAGGCAACAAATTATTTTTCAATTTCAAGGTCCAGAGGCACAGTTGATAAAAGCAAATTCTGCTAAACTTGTGACTTAATAAAATAAAGGAGCATATTCATTTTAAGTAGTTGGCCCAAAATTACCTATTGAGATAAGTAAAATTGGCCAATTTAAGTATGTCAAGATAAGCAGAGTTTAGACAATAAGAGGGATCAATAGATATATAGATTAATAGTAATTATTAATAAATAAAACCGTAAACATTACGAAAATTTTAGTCAGTTTGGATAAGTATCGTGAAGTTACTACTTACGTAATTGATTTCGTAAGGCAAACTTGCTAACCATTACGTCGAAATTTCTTTCTCTCTCTCTCACTCACACACACACACATATATATACACATACACAGTGCGTGTGTTTGTGTGCGTGCTATAACTTGTCCTAGTCTGCTACGATTTGAATTCATCTACAATCGTCACTCGAACACAAATACACTCAATCGATGATACAGTTCTCAGACACACACACACATATATATATATATATATATAGTTCTCAGACACATACACATACACACACATATATATATATATATATATATGAGAACTCTTATGTAGCGTGTTGGAATCATATTTTTAAATAAATAATTATATATATATATATATATATACACAGACACAACCGATAGAATATTTTTCTTTAGGGCAACAGAAATTAATGAATAAATGCATTGTTAGGCAAAAGCTTGACCTTGATTTTTTTATCATCACCACCGAACCTGACACGGCCGCGTCGTGAAAAGCTTTTGAAAGGTCTATTCTACTCCTTTAGATAAATATTACTGAGCTTCCTCCCGACAAGATCTATGCTTATACATATTTGATAGACTTCGTTCTCTACATGTTTATTTTTTCTGAAGAATATTTTCTTGACATCTCGTATGGAATTGTATATGTCATATTGGTTCCTGTTACGTCTGCTGTCTGGCAGAAAGATTTTTTTTAATATCCCTTCATTGAATCAAGTCTTTCGCTTAATTTTTCTTTCGTAACTGAAAAGCCCTCTTTGTGGCAATAAGCCTTCCTCCATCGCATCACCGACCAAACTATTATATCAGTCGTGTTACAAAATTTCTGTAATGTATGGATGAGAGTGATTATTGATCTAGCCTTTTAGTATGCGTTTGAGGGCATTAAACCGTACAAAGTCCAGTCCAAAGTGCTTTACATAGATCAGAATCATACTTTCTTAAGGTCTTTCATGACAACTGTGACTGCTATTCTCTGCAATATGTGAAAAGCGAATTTTCCTCTCTCATTCCCCCTTCCTCTACCTGACGTTTTCTTAATATGTCTACAGTTAGTTGGCATCAGTTACCCAGCTTTTACTCCTTTCTTTTTTCCTGTCTCTCATATATATTAATAGTCTCATCCCGAGCAAGGCAATAATGCCGGAAGGGGTTACTAAGAATGAAAGAAAACAAGAAGCCGTTAGTGATGAAAAAAGATAATAAATGAACAGGATCAGGAAGACAGAAGGTAGCAATTGACACTGTATTCACATTTTTTGAAGATCGTAAGTCGCAGGGAAACAAGAAGCCAGAAGTACGAGAGAAGAAACAATCAAAATAGAACTTACGGTTACATCTAGCTTTTTTCAATAGTAAAATAAAACCTAGTAGCCAATCTAGTAGCACGCTTAATTTAATGCTGTTAAAGTGCCAAGGAGGAAAGCTCATTAGAATAATTACCATGAGAATATTTATAGAAAAGCAGAAGGAAGTTACGTTACGGCGGTGGGAAAGTGACTAAAGTCCAGATGCCAAGCCAGTACCGATAACATTACAGACCCTTCTTTGGATTTTTTTAAAATTTCGAAATATAAAGCAGGGGTATCAAATCAAATATGGTAGCAATATTCAATGCACAGACGAATTGGTAGATTTATAAACGTGCAAGATGGATTATGGCGAGAAAAATTGTCTGGCACAAAAGCATGTACCAACTTTCCTAGGAGGAAATCTAGCAGTTGGTTCAATATAATCATCCCACTTCATGTTAGTGAAAAACACAAGACCAAGAAGACAGAAAGAGTCGCTCTCCTCGAGGTTAGCATCAACCATGCTGATTTGTCATCGTAGTTCTCTATGATGACAAAAATATATTCGTTTCGTTTTAGACGCGTTAAAATGTCCAAGCACTTTCTTGCCCCAGTTAACAACTGACTGGAGGTAATTTTCGAGATCTACAGTCAGTTTTACTTTATCGGGCTTATTATTAAGACAGGAGCAAGTATTTGTCATCAGTATGAATACAATGTTGGGAACTAATTACATCAGGAAGTCCGTTAATAAAAACACAGGTGCCTCCCGGGTTAATGTGAAAGGATCTAGAAGAGTGTTCGCTAATGTCTAACTTCTAAGATACCAAGTGATGCAAGAAAATTCCTCCTGATCCGGTTTGAACCGGATAGAAGATATTATAATATGTGAAAAAATTTCGTCAACCACAATACATATATAAACGTGTTACTGCCTGATGATCCACACTATTTTGAAAGTACATTCAGCACATTTTATTTGCATAGGATTTTTTAAGAAATAAATGCTTGACTTCTTGTTTCTGTTATATTTCTCTCTCTCTCTCTCTCTCTCTCTCTCATATATATATATATATATATATATATATATATATATATATATATATATATATATACGTTTCATATAATATATACAAGTTATATCATGTATGCTGGAATTTCATCTCAGTCGTGGCACCAAAATTTTATGTTATACTTCGTTGTATGAGAAGCTCATGAAACATTCTCAACGTGCATCCAAAGGCTCTCTCTCTCTCTCTCCCTCTCTCTCTCTCCCTCTCTCTCTCTCTCCTGTATACAAATTCGTATAATCATTATCACGTGTGAGTATTCGACGAGGAGTTGCTCAAAAATTATCGGTTCCACTAAGAATACTTACAAGAATACAAGAATCTGTTTGCTCATGTGGTCGTTTTTACGAAGCTGGTCAGCTCGACAACATTTCCCTATTCATTCGTATTGTCCGTATGAGTGTATAAAAATGAAAAAGAACCCTCTCAAAATTAGAAAGAAAGAAAAAACAGTGCGTAAATGATGGTGAACTTGTGTTATTTTCTAAGCTCCGCGAACAACAGAAACGCTTATTTCAAAAGAAGTATTTAAGTATTGAGTTCCAATAATTATTCCTTCTCGCTTTTCAGTATTTACTTTTTTATTTGTTTATTTTTGGTATTATTTCGAACAGGAAAAGATGTCCCCAAAAGATATATATATATATATATATATATATATATATATATATATATATATATATATATGTGTGTGTGTGTGTGTATCTAAAATTAATATTTTAGGTTATATTTTCATATATGGTGAGCCAGGTAATTCAGAATAAATTATAAAGTAAAAGAATGCATTTAACAGATAATAAAATCAGTGTTTTCAAGAAATTTATGTATATGTTTATTCAATAAAAGCGCCTTCGGCCTAAGTCTTGATGACAGCCTTTATGCAACTTCGGAAGCACCTGCATATGCTGGTCAGGTGGTTCTTCTTCATGTTGACGATCACGTCCGCGAGATTGGCCTTCAATGTCTGCATGGTTGATTGTAGACTAAGGAATTCAAATTAGCAGAAACATCTGTTGTTCGTCTTTTTCGCCTGACTACTTTCAAGAAGCGTGCTATTTCCGAGTCGCTGTGGATGGTGGCTAATGCCACGAACGCAGTCTTTTCATTTCCTGTGTCATATTGGAAGCTGCCATTGTTAATGCCCGCAATCCCTCTGAAAGAGAAATGAGAAAGTTAATATTCCGTTTATGCTACGTAACATTTTCGTTGCACATTAAGAAAAGGCTTGAAGCGGGAGAAATGTGATTCTATCGACGAATACTAGGAATAAAACAGACAGAACATTTAAACTACGATGGAGTTTTAAGAGAAATAAGAGCTACAAGGAAACTTATACTCACAAAGGGAAAGAGACAGTCGAAATTTCTGAGACACAATGAGGAAAAAAAGCCTCACAAATTTGACATCGTGGGGCATATTGTGAGGAGTAAAAAAAAGGGAGTAACCTATTTCATGAGATTGATGGAATCGGATGCAGAATAAGAACAAGTTTTGCAGAGCCATGAGCACCAATCCCACTGGCAGTTAATGGTTTGAAAATATTGTATAAAAAATTTACCATGGTTCAAATACATTTTTATTCCCTTAGTTATCTCTCTGAAGCAATGATATTTGCCACTTAATAAGCAATGATATTTGCCACTTACAATTGGTAAGGTACGATAAAGACTGTTAAGAACCATAATTATTTTAGATAGAATACAAATATATTTTTTTACTATTTTCTCATCTTATATATATATATATATATATATATATGCGTGTATATATATATATATATATATTAAGAAATGGACAAGGTCCGACAATTTATTTATTAAAGACATTTAATCATAAACAGAGCATTTGCTTAAATACTTGTATCTATAAATAACAACGTTAAACATAAAAATGTCTTTAATAAATATATATATATATATATATATATATATATATATATATATATATAGGGTGTAAAAACCTAACAAAAAACACTGAAATAATTGAGTTTCTGCCTTCTAGGTTTACAGATAAAACGTTCAGTCATCTTGACACCATTTGTCGTAAGAATCACTGAAAAAAATCCTTTGAGTTATTCAGCTAAAACTGAATGTTAAAATTGTTTTGTGTCAGACCAACTGTCTTTTCAACTGAGCAATGGTGAGAGGAAAAAGTTCATTCAGGCCTTCAATAATGGTATCAAAATTCATAACCTGGCTTCCATTTTCAAAGTTCATTCAAGAACCACCATGAGAACTGTGAATATGTTTAAAATAGAGGGAACAGTAGAGAGGAAAACTGGATCAGAAGGTCACAACAGGAAGAGGGATCATCATTTCAACTTAGAGCTAAAGAGATCAATTAGAAAACATCCAACTCAATTCATAAGACGTTTGGCACGTGAGAGAGGAGTTTCAACTATGACAGTCCAAAGAGCAGTGAAAAAATGAAATCACACGTGAAACCTATGAATCAACTTCTTACCCCAGGACAGAAAGTTAGAAGGTTAGAGAGGGCGGAGATCATCTTGAATAAGTTGGGAAGTGATCCTGAAATAATATATATATTTGAACTTTATTTCAATCCTTCATGAGCTTCTGATCCTTAGCTGTGATTAATTAATGATGGACATGTCATTTCTGTTTATGATCGATTTCATCACGATACTTCTCTTAATCTTAGAGAATAATTATACATTCTTATTGCTCAAAGTAGAGTCCAATAGAGTCCTCGGAGAATCACAGTAATATATCTTTAATCATTTCTAAGATATAACAGTTCAGAGCTTAATCTGGCAATTGGACTATTTTGCTCTTACATGATTTGGACGATTTTGATGTTACAGTCGGTATAGTTATAAGGTTTCAGCCAAGTACACTCTAGCCGCCATCAGTGTCTATTGATTTGTCTATAATAACATCTATATATCACTCAATACGTGGGCAATAGTTTGAAATAAAAAAAATGTATATTGAGGTTTGCTAATCTCAGAAATGAAAAACTAAAATAATCTTTTGCTTTGGCATATTCCAATAGAACCATGGCGCCTGTTGTGTATTTTAAACTTCAAATTGAGAATAGTCAACTTCAATTTGATAATAATCAACTTTAGATGGAAAAGACACTTTGTTAAAATGGTGTCACACAACAACTGCCGGCAAACACCTCGAGACGCTGCCGGTAGAAGATTGCAATCGTTTAAATCGTCTACCGATAAACGCATTGAGCCCGAGGACTATTGGAAGGCGATGTTTTCTCGTTTCGACAATTTCAGAACAAATCATGTCCTACAACTGGCTCCTGTCAAATGTCAGGAACTGCTGCACAGTAGCCGGTGGCTCATTTCAGCGAGCGAAGTCTGTGATGATATTGTCGAGATTACCATGTCTGCAGGCAAATGCCACGATGCTGAAGACGAACGCCTGAACAGCCGCGTCACTCTATGTCCTATACAATATTACTCAGCATGTGACAAATTTTGCTTTTCTTTTTTTTCTTTTATTTAATTAACGGTTTTTAAAACGTATCGTACGCAAACACGTCGTGGGACCGGTGTCGGTTATTGGTCGAGCCACACACTTTCCAAACCTAACACACAGAAACACACACTAACAAGAGTAAGTTCTTGGATCGGCATACCAAATACGCATACGAAGTTAGGAAGAAAACGGTGTGACAGCCAGTAGAAACGTACCAGGCCGGAGCACTAATACGAAGTTTGAAAGTCGACCACCGCCAGCCGACGATGTACATCGACCTTCAACTGGCAGAGAGTGTGGGTTTTGACGACGGTTGCCCCGAGCGGGAAGTAAAGACCACCAACATCGCAATAACGGTAGACAGCGGGGTTATGGAGTGCCCAGCACCGACTAACCGCATACCATCAACAAGCAGCCGCAGACAGCCAAACCACTCGAGGCGCGGATGAAAAGTGAAATTGCATTAGTCAAATTATAGTATAGTTTAAAAAGACATTCAAAAGGGAAGCAGTAGTTGGTTATATCAAAGCAGTGCCAAGTAAAACCCAGCATTTCGAATGCTGATTCTTACGATTTTCCAACGCTCCCTAATTGGAAGATTGATACAAAAACTCTACTTACTAAAAGTGTCCTTTCATTTTTAGGATGCCATAAGCAGCATATATATAATATATATATATATATATATATATATATATATATATATATATATATATATATATATAGTGGGGGAAAAATTATTCTTACACACAAATTTTTAATTTATTGTATTTTCAACTAATTAATAAACATATTTTTTCATATAATTAACTGTACACAGATTTATAATAACTAAATATGTATACAAAACAAAACAAAAAATGATTTAATAGAAATAAATGCTATTTATCCATTTTAATGCAAATTTCAGATTTTAAGACATTTAAATTGCTTTAATACTCTAGATTATTCAAGTGGAATATTCCAGTATGTTCCAATATTATCAGTAGTTATTTTTAGCCTAAAATACAAACAGATCATTTTGTAATTAATATTCGTGCAAGAAGTTTATCATCATAGCAAGAGTTAATAATTGACAAATTCACAAAAAGAACTGATTGTTAAGGTCTGCAAAGAACGTAAAAGTTACAGGAAAATCTCAAACGACACAAATATACCATTTACTTCCATTAGTTCATTCATCGCAAAGTATAAAAAACCTCAAAACTGTTGAAAACCAAAGAACAGGTTCTCCCGGAAGATTTCTTCTAGATCTTCCAGGAAAATAATGCGTCAAATTAAACAAAATCCAATGGTTACTCGTCAAGTGCTTCCATCAAGAATCTGTGTCACTAAACGGACAATAAGCAATGAAATTCCTAGGAACAATATAAAGTCAATCTCCCGTAGGAAAAGTGCTACTGCTATTGAAAAGACAGATGCCAAGTTGAAATTCGTTCGTGAACATAAGGATAAAGAAAATTGTATTAGGAAAGAGAATTGTGGACAGACGAAACCAAAACTGAGTTGTTTAAACGTAATTCTAGAAATCATTTATGAAGGAAAGATGGCGATGCCTTCAAACAAAATAACACATTTATAACAATGAAATTTAATGGTGGCAGTATCATGGTTTGGGGATGTTTTTCTGCAAATGGTACTGGCAACATATTTGTAATAGATAATAGAATGACTGCCACATCATATCAAAATTTTGAAAGCAAATTTAAGGATTTCGATTGAAAATCTTGAACTTCCTCCTGATTGGATCTTCCAACAAGGTAATGATCCTAAGCAGACTGCAAAATCTATGAAGAAATGGCTTTCTGAAAATAATATAAATGTCCTGAAATGACAAAGTCAGTCTCCAGATTTAAAACCAATTGAGAATCTGTGGCGTTATTTGAAAATTCAAATCCAATCGAGAGCTCCAACACACATCCCGGATCTGAAGACCATATGCGAAGAAGAATGGAACAAAATACCAACTAAAATTTGAAAATCATTCAATTTTTACTTTTCTATATCTTCCATTTTCCGAATATCTTTTTGTGTTATTATTTCTTCGTCTCTCTAATCTTCTCACCTCTGATTTTCACCCGTTCCATCTACTGTATGTCACCCCGTTCTTTAATTTCCTATTTTGTCTTTTAACTTTTTGTAGTCTTTTTCATTATTATTATTATTATTATTATTATTATTATTATTATTATTATCTCGCTCATCTTTCTTCTATTTGCCACGTTCCGTCAGAAAATGGGCGTTCATGACTCTACAAAACTTTCTATTTTGTGGCCTTTTTTTCAATATGGTATATCTAGGTATATCTAGGTGATATATGACTCAATACTACATGGTAATACATCCACAAATTGTTCGTTACAGGCATCACGAAGTTTCCATGTGCCCTCTCATGACAGATTCTTGTGATATTCTGTTCTTTCCAGTTTGTGATAATAGATTTAATCGTGTTCCGTGGGATCTTCAAATATGGGATATTTTTTATAGCCCAATCCTGATTTGTACTTTTCCACAACTCTAATCTGTTTGGAGAGCTCCTTGGCCATCATGCATCTGCTTTCTTTTAGAACAGTTTCATATATTCTGAGATCGTGTCACTTTGATTTCACAGTGCTAGGATTTAATGTTGTAATTCTGGAGCTAACACGATACGCAAAATCTTCTTTTGAAGGCTTCTTAGCACAGAGGATGAATGCCTATCCACGCATTACTTAAAAATATATTTTTGAAAGATTTTTTAAAAGAAATTTATTATATTTCAATTCACCAATTCGAACTGATTTGGAAATAAACTCTAAATAAAAATCATTGTAATTTACAGATTGCAATTAAATATACGAAATCTCCAGAAGATTGAATGCTTTTGAATGGCTTTATACACTTATGAAGTGGAGGTTTGGAATACTAATGTATTTACGGATAAAATGTTTAAATGTGCATTCGAAATGATAAACACACTAACATGGAATGATAAAAATACACGCCGTCAATGAACGAGATTTTATTTCTAAAAAGATATTTGTCAAACGATGATAATGATATTTTCGATTAATAACTTTAATGCAAACAACAATTCAGTTTATCATTTTATTCTTATATTAAATTTTCCCTGAATAGAGTCGCTATGAGGAAGAGTATACAACGTCAAATAAATTTTCTTTACATAAAAGCTGACAAATGTTAATAACAAAAGACAATATACATTCAAGCTAATCTAATCACAACCAATTTTAATCGTTTCTACCTTAGTTATTAGACATATATAAGGAAGTGCTGAAAAATTAGATTTTTGGTTTTACCAAGAAGCTTTAGCCCCTAAAAGTTATTAGGCTTGTGCTTTTAATCAGACTTTGGAAAATGCCCTGGTTTGAAAACTTTTCAACAATCCCTCGTGCGAGCATATATACTGGCGTTCCATAGGTCATCGGATAGCAGTCGGTAAAGGAAACAGTATATGATGCCACTGTCCCTAGCCTTAAGAAAATGGCCATGTTTTTATCAGTTGGGCTCTTATATCTGATGAGTCAGTGTACTGAACGGCCATACTGTAGCTGATCATCTCAAGTCGACAAAAATAGCAGAGTTCGATCGAGACATCATGGGTGCTAGACAGATGAGATATTCTGTTTCTGAAATTGTGGGAACATTTCACATTCTTTGTCCTTTAGGTTACCCTAAATACTTGATGAGAAGCATTATTCATCCACCGTAGATAACATGGTAACCGACAACGAGGTCAGATACATCTGACAAGAGTTGACTCAGATAACAAACAATCGTCATTGGCATAAATTACACCAGACATATATCCAGCATGTCAGTTCAGCGGTTTGGGAATTCCTTAGGATATGGAAGGTGATGGCTCACCAGGTTATCCCCATTAATACCACGACATTGAGCTAATTTAATACTGGCAACGTAGTGTCGCTCGATGAATTGCATTTTAATCATTTCAGGCTAGTAGGTACGGTTTTGAGGCAGACCATATAGAATAATGGATTCTAGTTGTCAACCGTGCAGGCTGGTAAGGATACCAAAATGCTGTTGGATTAATTCCACTGGTCCACCTAAACATGTCGTTGACCGTTCACACCTGTTGCATTGGACCGTGAGTATTGTGTCCATTCATGTACTTTAACGGATAATGCACCATGTTTTATAAACCTAAACCTTATCTTTTAAAATACTCGTATTTGAGACGCTCCGTTTCTTTATAAACCAGTATATTTTCGTCTAGCGGCCTGCATTACATATATATTCAAGCATTATTTTTAGTGGATACCCATATTTAGGTAGACGCTATTTATTAAACAGTATTTTGTTTACCGGTTTAAATGCAATTTGCTCTTGAGCATATTTTTCGAGTAAGCAGACCAATAGATGAAATAAATATTTGTCTATATTTATGAGATGAGTTACTGAATTATTTACATTGTTCGGACTGTTGTCCTCATCGCTATATTCACGACATTTTGGCCGTTGTACGCTTCGACCTTCTTCAGGTGATTGGAGTTTCGAACTGAACCCTTTATTTCGTCCGCCGGGGTGGATTGTTCTAGTACCACGTACAATGCTTCTTCCGGATGTAAAGAATTGTAAAAAAAAATAGTTACTGAGAGATAATAAGTCCAAAAAATTCATAAGTCTCAATAAGTATACGAAAAACCCAGTGGATAAAAGTGTTGAATGGATCCAACGACATGATCCAAAGAGTTTTGAGTTCAATACCTGGTAACTGCAGTGGTTAACAAAAAAAAAAGCTTGGTGAGTTGAGTTAAAGGGAGATAACTGAGACATCTAGAAGAGGTGTGGCACGTGGAGCTAGAACGATCTACCCCCGGTGAACGAAATAAAGGATTCAATTCGAAATTTCAATCACCTGAAGAACGCCGGAGCGTAAACGGCGGAAACGTCGTGAATATGCCAATAAACACGAGAACAACAGTCAGAACAATGTAAATAATG